ACTAGTCCTTTATTCTCGGCCTGCTTTTTTTGGACACAGCATCCAGAGTTCAGTTTATCTTTAATACTTTGTAAATCATTGACCTGTAACAAGTGCAGGATTTTTCTAGGGCACTGGGTGCACAACATGGAAAATTCTACTCAGTATTCTCATGCCACAGAAGCCAATGGTCTAAGCATTAAAATAGAGAATATAAAACACTAAAATCCTACACCAAATATAAGCCCATAATAAAAATAGATTTACAGACTATGCAAATCAATTCATGTTCACCACAAAGGAACCCCAGTGTGTATGTATCAAGGTAACCTCACTAAGTAGCATTAAACAGCACCAATGCACATACCAGTACACTAAACCATAGTGGTTCTACTTGGTATCACAAAATGAATATCCCCTCACAGTGGACACACAAAATGTATATGTATCCTATGCAGCTGCCAAATTACCAATATGTTAACCAATAACAAAATCAAGTCAGCTGTTCTGATCTAACAATGTATACTAAAGGATGTAAATAAGTGTTAATATATGCAAAATAAATACACACACACACACAGTGTGAGAAACATTCAAAATATAAATGTCCATAACATGAGAATAAATAGTTTTTGGTTGTAAATAGTCTCAAATCCTCCTCCGGGGTGATCCAAAAATTCCTTCATAGCACATCTACAACGTGCCGCACGCCACCAGGGCAACTCTCCGCCTATGTGAGCAAAACTGAGATTGGCCTCCAAGTTATAGGCGGGTCATTTAAGGTTTCAATAACGTACCGTATATCTCCACAAATCCTCTATCACCCAATCCTGAGCCAGTGAATGGCTAACACTCCACAATTGGTGTCTTATGCAGCCTCAGCCGTCATTACATTTTAAAAGTATAAAACTCTCAAACTTTTTTCAATGATGAATCCTGATCAAATCTATAGATTGCCCAGCAAAGTATTTCTTTACATTTTTGACCAAGCACACAGTTGTCATGTTTAAAAAATAAAAACAAAAAACTGTCTCCAACTCTCTCAGCTTCCCTGAACTTCCTGTTCACTACAAGATCACAAGGGACAGCTCAATCTCCAGCAGTCAATCTTATAGAAGGGAGGAGATGGGGCCAGTGGGGAGGGGAGTAGCTTGATTTGCTGTGTCTGTGTGTTAATGGAGACGCACACCACTTACCAGCACACACAAGTGTGGCTCCATAGAACTCTGCATGAGAAAGGAGCCCCCCTAAAACAGGATATCAGGACCAGTGCTCAGGGGACGAGCTGATTCTGCAGAAAACAAACTTTTCAACATCAAAAAGCAGCATTCATTCTAAGTGATTTGATCAGCATTTGGAATAGCTTAAAACTCATTCGACTAATCTCATTTTAAGGACATACAGGGTTATTCACAAAAGGGTGAAGAGTTTGAAGAAGGCAGGGGAAGTGAACAATCTAGGACAACATAGCTGATTTGGAAAAATTCTCCAATTCAGCTCATTTTCCAGTTCAGCTATGTTGTCACAGATTGTTCACTTCTCCAGCCTTCTCCAAACCCTTCACCCTTTTGTGAATGACCCTGTAAGTAATTTATTTCTTATTTATTAGGGACACAGAATTCAGTTCTTCAGAGAGAATTGGGTTATACCATCGCCTGTAGGAGGAATTGGACACTGGAAAAAAAAATTGCCTGGTATAACCTTTTCCACTTCCAGTAGATTTGTGCCAGTGTCCAAGGCTGATGGATGTATTTTCTATAATTTTGTTTCAATTAAGACTTCATGTACATCCTGCTGAGCTGTGCTCTCTATGCAGCTGTCCAGATTAGCATATCCTCAGCAATGGCTATGGAGGCCGTATTATGACTCCACTGGATTGAAGATTGCAACCCCGCCTGGAATGTGACCTTCAAGCACTGGGCTCTGCTTGTAGTGCTTTTCAGACCTTTGTGTACTGTTAGTTAGCTGAGCATTCTCTAGGGCCAGAGCCATTGCACAGACTGGTGTGACCCAGTCTATGAAGACTCGTAGGGAAAGCCAATAGGTGGGGCAATTTAGCCTGGAATGTGACCCTTGGCCCCTGGGCTCCGCATTGTGGTTCTTTCCGGACCGTGTGTACTGTTTCAGTGAAGCACTTTACCGTTTCAGAGCTGTAGCGCTGCTTCGAGTGTGACCCAGTCTCTGTAGTGTCACTCTCTGAGAGTCTCTGATTGTAATTAACATCCTGATACATCTTTTGTGGACTGTTTTAGTGACCTTCAGAGTGCTTTTCACTTACAGAGCTGTGGCATGATCCAATCACAACCCATTTGATGAATTTAGCCAGCTGGACTGTGGGCGCCATTTAAATTTTCATGCCTTTTTTTTTTTTTACTGACACAACAATCATGCCAGAGTGTTGCACGTGTGCAGTCCTTTCCTGTGTTTCAGCTTAAGAGGAAACATCTTTCCGTTGCTACTGATACTGCTGCTTTTCAGCACATTGCAGATCATCCGATCTCTGGTTCCACTTCTCGCCTACAGTGACTTGATCACTTCCAACTGGCTGCAGCTCTCATAAGTATGAACTGTTTGGGTTTGTAACTACACCATTGCCTCACTTTGGGCCTAGTTGCTTACCATTAAGTGGTGCAACATGTCTTTTATAAGATGCCAAGAGTACAGTCCCATTGTTGTGGGTGACGTTGTCCCTTCCCTACTCTTCCTGGAGAAGCTAAACCAGCATACCCAGAAGAAGCCAATGCCTGTGACCTGGATCCAGGCACCCCTTTTTCTATAAAGTCATCCATCTTAGCAGGTTCTATACCTGCGCTGCCTGAAATTATATCTACTTCTGGTTTTGTGGTAGTCTGTGCACAATTATTGGAGAAATCTGTTCGGGATGCTGTGCCTTCCATGAGTTTGACCTTACTGAGACTTTATCTCTCACAGTACCTGGGGTCCCTATCACCATCTCCGATTCAGAGCTTTTCCTTTCAATACATTTTTATTCATTTTCCAACAAAATGTTACAAACAATGTCATAGTAAACACATATCAAAAAATACAATTTGACAAAAAATAAACAGGTGTTTGGCTAAATAAATAAATGTTCAGTTATATGGTGTGTGAGAACAGAGTGTCTTGAAGAACAAAACTTGACAGGAGATTCATCAAATAACTTGAGGAAGGAAAATCCAGGAACCTTTCAGGAAATGTCCCTCCCAGAACCAAGAACAAACAAAAAAGATAAACTGAATCAAGTGGGAGATCAGATTCAGAGCTATTAAAACCTGCCTCCTGAGACTGTATTTGAGCAGGTCCCATATGACTCAGATATGCAATCTATTTTGGGATATACCACCTCCTTTTTTTTTTTCTCCCACTACTGCTTTTATTTTTAATGTAGTTTATTAACATTTAGAATAATTCCACCTCTTATGGTGTTCAACTCACCTGACCTGGCATAAGGAACGTGACCTACAAGGTCAACAAACATAAGTTCCTGCTGTTTCCCCTGAATGTGGAACTGATTATCTTGAACTTCACGTGCTCAGCATCAATAGGTCGTAGCATTCAAGTGATGATTAGTATCAACAGGCCCAAAATGTGGCAAGAAAACATTTCCTACACAATTATATCACTAAGCTAGACTGTTAGCACAATACAGGCTTTGTCCACCGATCCATGATGTTGCTGCTAAATTTGGACCCCCCCCCTCCCCCCCCCCATCTGTGTGCAGAAATTGAGATTCATCAGACCAGGCTATATTTTCCAGTCTTGAACTGTTATGTCAGTCAATGTGGTCTTCTGCTGGTTTAGCCTTCCACCTCAAGGGTTGACGTTGTGTACTCTGAGATGCTTTTGTTCTCACCACAGTTGTAAAGAGCTGGTATCTGTGTAACCATTTCCTGCTTGTCGGCTCAAACCAGTGTGACCATTCTCGTCTGAACTCTCTAATCAACAAGGCATTTCCATCATCTGAACTACTGCTCAATGGATGCTTTTTGTTTTACGCACCATTCTGAATAAAGTCCAGTGGCTGCTGTGCACGAAGGAGATCAGCAGTGATGGAAATACTCAAACCAGCCCGTCTGCCATCAGCAATAATGTCTCCGGTCAAAATCAGTGAGGTCACACTATCCCCATCCTGGTGCTTGATGTCAACATTAACTAAAACCTTTAACTGTATTTGCATGATTTTATGCATTTTGCTGCTTCCACGTGATTGGCTGATTAGAAGGTATTCCTAATAAAGTGCTTATGCATATAAACACATGCTATACTCTCAAACAAGTCTCCCTTTCCCTGGTCTCCTTGAATCTGTATCAGTTTAGATGTAGCGTATAAGATAGAATTGTAGATCTCTCATATTGGGCAAGCCAATATCATAATTTCTATGCAAAAACCCACCTCATACATGAGATCAACAATACCAATCCAGAATCCGGATGCATTTTTTAAACCTCTATTGGTCTACCCGACAAGAGAGATCTATAATAATATCTTATACTCTACATCTGGGTTTGTCTGTAAATTGATCGGTATAAACGCATACGACAGCACTCAGTGTCCAGACGATGGTGACACATCAAAAAAAAAAGCTAATGTCCTGATTGTTTTACCACAACAGCAATGGATTCTCTTTTATTTTCTTCTTTATTATACATTTGTTATTTGCGAATCAAAAATGATCGACTTATTTTGGAAACAAAGTGTGACAGATGGGATAAACCCAGAGAGATCCCATCAACAACCGTCACCTAAGTTGGTTACCCCAACAGTGACTACAACATCTGTATTGTCACTTTAAATCAAATATGTTTACTCCAGGCTCCAGCTGTAGGATGTAGACCTCCCTTCTCCTCCCCGTTCAGTAACAGAAACTTTTCAGTACAACTCTTTTTTTTTTGTATTGTTATTGTGCAAGTGATAGTCGCCAGTCCTCCGGAAGCCTGAGATTACAGTGCCTCATAATAGTGAATGATACAAAACATTCACACTGCTCCAGATTAACTCAACTACATCCAGGTATCGGGACAATGTATATTAATGAGAACACAAGCAGAATAGTCCAGGAGCGAAGAAGAGAACCACACAGGGTTCTCCTAATGTTTCTCTGCTCCGTGGCCTGCAATGCTGCTAGTCAGTCTGTTATTGAAGAGGATGGTAAGTGAAGCTTGTTGATGGCAATAATGTTGTTGATGTGCCTTATATTTCCTAAAGTGTATGTCCAGGTAAAACTTTTCCTTTTTTAGTTTTGGGTAAAGTGGGGGAGATGCAGAGCCACTGCTGGGTGTTTACTGCCATCTGGGGCTCTGTGAGAAAGCTTACCCCTTACTACAAAGATAGCACAGACAGGGCCGGATTTACTATCCCTGCCGCCCCAAGGCCAGGTTCTGCTATGCGCCCGCATCCCCCCCCTCCATCCATCAACGGAGAATGGCAACCGGATGGCAGGGGCGGCAGGGTTAGTTTTATTTTTATTGTTTCTTTCTTTTTTATCACTTTTTTAATTTTATTTACTTTTTTACATTTTTAGCTTATCGCTTTTAGCTAGCTAACTGTGTGATAGCATTTGGAGGTGACAGGTTCTCTTTATTGACCCTGTCACCTCCAATACAGGAGTTCTAGCACAGCACTGTGCTGGAACTCCTGTGACAGGCGAGAGAGGAAGAGCACAGCTCTCCCCTCTCACTGTCTACAGTCTACACAGAGCGGCAGGGTTACTTTTAACCCTGCCGCTCTGCTCCCCACATCGACGGCAAGTGAGGAGAGACTCGGCGGCCGGAACCAGAAGAGAGAAGTAAGTGAAGGGGGGAGGACGAACAGGCTGCACAGATGTTACAAGTGATTGCGGCGACATCGCCGCGATCACCTGTAAATGTATGAGCGGATTCCCCACAAGGCAACTTACCCACCCGGCGCCCGGAACTGTATGTTCCGTGCGTCGGGGGACTCCACACCGCTGCCGCCCGGCCGCCCCGGTGGCCTTGTGGGAAATCCGGGCCTGAGCATAGATATACTGTATATATAATGTATGTATAATCCCAGGGGTAGCCACTGCACTCTATTTGTAAGGTAAATGCCCAGGTGCTCATCCACAAAAATATCCTTACAAATCTCTTAATCCGATCTTCTTCTTTACTGTCCTTTTCAGCTGTCTCTCCAGTGCTGCTGCAGGTCTCCGATCCAGCGCTGGCTCCTCTGTCCTCCTCTTCTCTGATGTCCCACGGAGTCTGTGCGGGTGCACGCTGCTCTATACACTTACCGTGTGTCTCTCCTCTTCTCCCAGCCGAACATCTGACCTGCGCATGCGCCCGCCCCAGGATCCTTTGCGGCTGCCCGAGAAATTTTCAGATGTTCGGACGGGAGTGTGCGGCAGAGACACAGGTAAGTATTAACCCTATGAAAAAGGTTTTTTTTTATCGTTTTGCATCCATCTACTGCTTGATAGCCGAAGATATATGCAAAAACATGCAAGGGTTTAATAACACTTTAATGTTTCAACGGAGCTCAGTCCGTCTTCATCAAGACTTTAGTAGAACCGCATGGCAGACTTTTCTTCACTGCCTGTCAGGTGAAACTGTTGTCACCAGGTCAGGAAGTAAGGGAGTGAGGTGAAATCTATCTTAAGATAGCAGTAGAAAGCCCTGCAGGGGCTCAAAGTCTTCCCTACTCCATCCAAAACTAAAAAAAGAAAAAGATTGCTTGGATGTTTTAATAGGAAAATAAAACTGTTTATGGTAAAATTATGTGTGACTGGTGACAGCTATAATGTGCACTTTTGATATATATGCGTTGCTCAGCCTAAGGTTGCACCTAACTACTCCTTTTTGCGTCAGATTGGGGTGCCCTGATATGTCAAAGAGCCAGACAGGAAACTGTCCAAACATATTGGGACTTGTATTTAGTGTATTATAGCCATATGGCCAATAGGAAGGTGAAGAAGCTGGGAGGGGGTGGACAAGCCTTTGACATTCAGAACCTGCTGTTTCAAGTGCTGCTTTTTTTTGGTCAAGAGTCCAGTATAGATCAATTTAATGGTAAGTTCAGAATTAAACGTTCTGATTCATGTGGGAGGTCAGTGACTTCTTGTTTCCCACATTGCATGCACAGTAATTCAGGTAGAGTACAGAATGCCCAGATGTAGCTATACACAAGTACAGAAAACGTAACAAAAACTGAGCTCCTCATATGGAAACCAGCACAGGAGAGGAAGCCTGAAATTAAAATATTTGTCCCTTTTCCATCTTCTATGGATCTAATGCAGATTCGTCTTTTTGGGAATGTTTTTGAACAAACATTGTTTCGGTTAAACGTTTCAGCTCAGTGTTTACTTAAGCTGAATCTTTCACAAGAATAAAAGTGGCCAAAGTTGACGAGAAGTTGCTACTTCTATCACATTACACAATATGTCACTTTCCTGCTGATCTCGAAAAACGAATGGAAAGGGACATTTTCTGCATTGCCCATAGCAACCCATTGGATTCCAGAAGCTATTTTTACAGCATATGTTGGAAAATGGTGGCTGGAGTCTTGTTTGTTGAAATTCTTTCATGTACCCTCTAGACCACTATTACAGGGTGTTTCTCATTAATAATAACCTTGAGTGCAGTTTTCAGCAGCATGTACAAAATTATAAGTGTGTAGTAGATACTGTATGTCTTATAAAGTGTAAAAAATGTTGTTTATTGTATGTTTTAAAGGAGAACTATGGGGTTAAGTCTTTTCCCCATAGTTCTCCTTAAGGGAACGGGAGGACACAAACTAGCGTCCTTCCGTCACCCTAGGCTCAGTATACCGCGGGCTACAGCTCGCGGTATACTGAGACACCGCGGTATACAGCTCGCGGTATACAGAGATGCCGCAGCTGAAGCGGATCCCGACAATTGTGCCGGGATCCGCCCAGCTGCGTGACTGACAGCTGGCTCTCCTATCTAGAGGCAGAGCCAGCTGTACCCGCCCCCTCCCCCGTCCGTTCCGCCAGTCAGCGCTGGAGGAGCGGGGAGGGGGGAATCCAGCCCCTCCCTATGTCACGGCAGAGAGCCATGACAGGATCGAGAGGTGAGCGAACGCCGCTATGTGTTCGCTCACCTCCCGATCTACTGAGCCGACCCGTGACAGTCTCATTGTCATAGGTCGGCTAGAACTATGAGGTGAGTGAAAATCACTCACCTCATAGTTCTCCTTTAAGGCATATTCAAGAATGAAATTATGAAACAAGTTGTAAGGTAAAGAAAGTGTCCTATGGGTCCAAAGTAGGAGTCTTTAAAGCGGACCTTTACCCAGATCTATAAAATAACAACAAGCACACCATTAGAAATGTTTAGTAATGACAATCTACAAACACATACTTCTAGATAATTGCCGGCATTGTATTCTTTGTATACCTTAGTTCTCTTTTCTTCCCCAGTCTTCTGACTGTGGCCATGTTTATTAAGGGCAGATTAATAGATCTCGTTTTACTTCCTGGATTTCTTACATGTGATTAGACCTGTGACTAGACATGTGACAATGCCCATCATTTCAGGGGAGGAAATGCCTTTGCCTGAGATCTCCTGACATTACAGATGAGATTTCCCAGCAATGCTCTGCTGATGACAAGGCAATCCCAGTGTGCATTGCTTTGCCAAACTGAAGTCATTTTGTCCTTTCAGAGCAGGAAGTGAATGCTCTGCAAGTGTAAGTATTTCACAATCACAGCATTTTACACCTGACATGTCTATGTTATTATTAATCATCATACAGAGAGGGATGCATTGGTAGAATTCGATTTTTGATTGTAAAGGTTACCTTCTGTTTCCGACGCACAGGGGGAGCTGCTTTCTTTTTTTTAATTTTTATTTCAGCAGATGGATCGACCCATTTATATAAGTTCTCACATCCTTGTACGTAATTGTAAAATAAAAATGATCCTTCTACAACTGAAAAAAAAAAAAGAAAACCTGCGAACCAGAGCCATTGAGCATTACCGATTAGATTCCACTATGTGATGTTGGCTCTCAATTAGCCCAGGATCCAGCACCTTATACTGTATCTAGTCCTTTCAAACATTATAAAACGAGTGGAAATCTGTCACCTTCTGGAAAATTGTCACCTTAGGCTGCAGCCTGTGCCCCCCAATACAAGTCTATTTGCTTTAAGCAGTGAGGGATTCTCTCTCTGTTCTTACTGGAATTTTTTCTTCACATCAACCAATTTGATTCAGATGTTGAGAGAAGGTTTCAATCATCTTGGTGGCTGGGGCTATGTAGCTCCAGTTCTTGGTAAGAACACTTTGATATGTCTGCTCTAAAGTTGTGTCTACTTCTGTCATTACACAGGGTGTCCAGTTCCGATGTGGGTCCAGTTCAACAGAAGCTGTTACACGCTTATTTATGTTGCACCACAAAATGTACTTGGTATGAATCTTGCCCAGGAGCTTTGCAAAGGTATTTAAAATGACTCTATTGTCTTGTGGTGTCTTTGGGAATGGTGTAAGAAATGTTAATTCATAGCATTGTGAAGGCCGAAGTATATATTTTATTTCAGGCCCGTCATCCCTCTCCATTGAAATGTTGACTCCTAGCCAAATATTACTTTTATAAAAGGCTGGGGGGTTTTTTTTTTTTTTTTAAGCAAAGCCTTGCCTTTCTCTCAGAGCCTTTTCAATCAAGAAGCAGGTAAGATTTTGACCCAAAGCAGAGCTCTCAAGAGCTGGCATGGAGCAAAGTATTATATCACCTCTTGGATCCTCAGCAGTGTCTGGCATCATCTGGAGCAGGGGTGCCCACAATTTTTCGTCTGGAGATCTACTTTTGAAATGACGAGCTCAATGAGATCTACCAACGAAAAAACACCTGCGTTCAGGGGCGGGAGGTGGCATGGCGGTGCATTGAAGTAAATGGCACGGCAGCCACGCCCCCCGCCCGCCCGCAGAGAGATCGCACGCACCTGGAACACAGGCGCATTAGTGCCTGCATTCTGGTCTAGTGCGATCAGCAAAAATGCTGCAAGTCGGCTTGCGCTTCTGTGCATTCCAGAGGCCAAACACTCTAGAACGCAGACTCTGTGGTGCGAACTGGCCCTCTCTCTTGGCCGTCTCTTCTCTCTCTCCTCGCTCTGTCCCCTGTTTCTATCTGCTATCTCTATCTGCCAACGTTGCACACAGGGAGAGGTGTCCCGCCCCTTCCCGTCTGACACATTCAGCAGCACTAGCACCGCAGAAGGGAGCTCAGGTCAGTGAGCTGATCGCGATCTACCAGTGTTCGCTTTGAGATCTACTGGTAGATCGCGATCTACCTAATGGGCACCCCTGATCTGGAGGAATGGACAGATGGCACTAAAACACCAGGGTGGTCCTACCTCCACGTCATACAGAGTTGGTGTACAGTGTCTTAACATTGTGCGGGCAGATATTATATACAGATGGCCTTCCAAAGACAGATATGTCAAAATGACTTTTGTGGAAGACTAAAAGGAAAAAGTTTGGCCTATAAATATTTGCAATCCTTACATGTAATGCTGGTATTGGTATATTGGCTGCTTAGTTACATGTTGTTGTTTTTTTAGATATTGGTGCTGACACTGTAAGCATTCAAACCAAGGAGGAAAATGCGTTCTTACTGAGAATGTTCCAGACCAAGTGGAAGGGACCCAAGGAGGTTTTGCTGGGCATGTTTTATGATGCTGATGGTAAGAAAAGAATGTATTCCTTTCATTTGATCAGCAGCTCCATACCCCTCCATCCAGAAAACAGTAGTGACAAATGTGCCTGGGATAGTGTAACACATTCTTATAGCTGAAATATCCAAGGACATTTCACTGCTAAACCTGCAAACGAATCCAGCAAAATACTTCCTCAGAGAGCATTGTGCATTATATGACCACATTATAACAGTGCAAAGGACTGCCACGTCACATGACAATTCATAGGGATGAAAGTTCTCACTTTGTCCCCTATGCTGTGGAGGTTTTAACAAAGCAGTTAAAGGAGAACTATGGGGTCAGTGTTTTTCCCCATAGTTCTCCTTAGGGTAACGGGAGGACACAAACTGGCGTCCTCCCGTTACCCTAAGCTCAGTATACCGCAAGCTACAGCTCGCGGTATACTGAGACGCCGCAGCCGGAGCAGATCCTGACGTAGATGACGGGATCCGCCCAGCTGCGTGAGTGACAGCTGGCTCTGCCTATCTAGAGGCAGAGCCAGCTGTACCCGCCCCCGTCCGTTCCGCCAGTCAGCGCTGGCAGATCGGAGAGGGGAATCCAGCCCCTCCCCCTGTCACGGCAGAGAGCCGTGACAGGATCGAGAGGCGAGCGAACCCGGTATGTGTTCGCTCACCTCCCGATCTACTGAGCCGACCTGTGACAGTCTCATTGTCACAGGTCGGCTAGAACTATGAGGTGAGTGGAAATCACTCATCTCATAGTTCTCCTTTAAAGTAGATTCAAATAGTTTGCTGTATCATATACAATTGTATTGTCTTCCTCTAAAAGCTGATCTCCAGACCCCCTCTTATCCCCCCCTCCCCTCCCTCCCTTAAATGCCCCTTTCCAGTCTCGAGTCATCTCTCTTCTTCTGTTTAAAGAAGGCAGGTCCTACCACATGACTAGGGCAGGGCAGCTCTGCATTCAGAAATGGGTCCCAAGCCTCCTAGGGAGGATCAGAGAGGAAAGTTTGGGTGATATTTTGAGATGAGGTTGGTGATATAGCTTGGGATAGAGATGTAGACGTCTTTGTATGGTATTCTATTTTGAACTTTATTTGTTGGGTGAGTAGATGCCAGTGGAGTGGTTGGCAGAGAGGGGCGACAACCACCGAGTGGTTGGTCAGGTGCATAACTCTGGTGGTAGCATTCATGATAGACTGAAGGGCATAACCTTCCTAAAGTAAGGCCAATTAGGAGGGAGTTGCAATAGATGATGTAACATAACAAAGCTGCAAATTAGAAACTTTGTAATTTGTTAAGAAGGGATGAATTTTTGGAAATGTTATAGAGGTTACAGTGGTAAGATTTGGACAGTGATTGGATGTGGGGCTGAAAGGAGTGGTCAGAATTCAGGAATACACCTAGCACCCTTGCATGAGGGTAGGGCTTGGTAGGTGAGCTGTTGATTGTGATAGAGAAGTTGGGAGAGTGGCCCAAGAGGAAGGCGGATCGGAAATATGAGCTTAGTTGTGGACAGATCGAATTTGAGGGAATTGTGTGACATCCATGTTGATAGCCATGTCCAGTGGTGGCTGCATGGCATTTCTCAAGGCAGGATTCCTGACAGTGACAACAGTGGAATATGCCTGCACAAGCTGCATTGGGATTAGTACCACCACCTGTAGTCTCCATTGTGTGAGACAGGGTGCAAGGCAGGATCACAATTGGGACACAGGGGGCAAAGCATTGTCACCCCATAACAGGAAGTGCCTGCAGCAGACCCATTGTGGCAGGATTACCTCAATTCCTGCATGGCATTAGAGGTTCCTTGTTTGATTACACACATTTCCTGTATGTCTTTTATCACTGTCTAGTTACTGAAACACGCTTTTCTCATTTCTGAACTGCATGGAATACAATTGTCCTATATCCTATTGACAGAGAACACTTTGAAATGGTTTGACAAGTCACCAGTAACATTCACTAATTGGAGACAGGAGAAGATCACAGATGAAAACTTAAACACTTGTGTGAAAATGAACACAATAACCGGAGAGTGGGAATTCACCGAGTGTGACCAGTTTGCAGAATCGGGAACATTGTGTAAAACAGGATTGGGTATGTACACATCTGCGATACTAATATAGATCGAAGTCACCAAATGTCTTTGAAGGGAATATACCACAAACGTTAAGATGTTATGTCGAAAAAAATATTTTTAGCGTTGGATGGATTAGAACACTTTCACCTGGTTTAATTGGGCTCCATTCATTGAGAGATTTATTTTCATTTCCAGTCCTGTTGACCACAATTTCACTAGGCAGGAAGTGAGGGAAAATCTATAAAAAGGCACACAAACAGAAATTCCAACCTGAAGCCGGGGGAGAGAGCAGAAGCGCCGCTCCACTTAGAAAAGGCCAGAATAGGATTTTCTTTTTTTTTTTTTCACATACATGAGGAAAATTGTTCCAGGGGTTACAAAGGTCTTTATTCCTCAGGGCTATAAACATATATGTAATTACAATTGTTGTCATACGGCTGGTGGACATAATATGACGGGTGTATGTGTATAACTGTAAAGACAGACCTATGCAACCCCCAAAAAGTGTTGGATCTTCCTGGTGAATGTAAATAAAAGATTATTCTGGGCTATAAATGGAGAGCAGCCCTGTCTTCATGAATCCTTAAGGACCATCCACAAGAGTCCTAGGAAAACCAGAGCTGCCAGATAACTCTGGGCCTGACAGGGGTTCTAGCCTTTCCCTGTTCTACTAAAAATAAAGCACTCCTTGCATTGCTGTTGGAGGGTTATACACACACACACACACACACACACACACACACACACTTATTATTATTATTATACAGGATTTCTATAGCGCCAACAGTTTGCTCAGCACTTTACAATATAAGGAAGACATTACAATCACAATACAATTCAAGACAAGATGGTAAGGAGGGCCCTGCCCCTGAGGGCTTACAATCGAAAATAGAGATAGAATTTGCCTGTTCAGCTTTAATACTGCCTACTACATTCTCCCCTATGAACTGAGCCTACATAGCCAACCAACAGAATTAGACTGTATGATTCAATCTGGTGAATATTTTACCAAATCATCATCATGCATTTACCTATCTTCTATTTCAGATCCCCAAGAGAGCGAAAAAAATGGTAAGTATTTGCTTACTGAGGTTAGTTTACTGCTTCCTGGAATACTACTGAGCTAATCTGTAACCATCTCCACAACTGACAGTTATAACCAAACTCTGGGGGGAAAATAAAAACCTTACCATGCAGCATGCTGGCTCCTACAAATAACTCTGGTCTTCTGGGGATGTGACGAGTGATGCCCACATCTCCTCGCTACTTGCCAAATTCACAAAATGCTTTGCATTTTTCTTTATAAAAAAAAAAAAATCTGTGATAACTTTTTATATATATATATATAGATATGCACTATATAGGAGTAATGGTTATACTGATTTTGCAGCGCTAAAATCTATATTCCTATCATTGGGACTTCTTAGTCTGTATTGTGGCTGCTTTATTTCCCATATCGTTGGTATATTATCCACAAGCGCAGATCAATAGATTTTATATAATGGTTATACTGAGCCTGGCAGAAATTGAAACCGACAGCTCTCTAGTGAACTCCATTTTAGCTGCTTACTAGACAAAGCGCACAGATGCTACAAGTAATTCTCTATACGGAGCATCGCCCTAATGGCCCCAAAAGTGATTACCTTAATGTGAACCATTCTCTTTCAGGTCACCGAGTGCTAATGATCAGCCTGGTCACTGTATTTGCACTAATTGTACCATCACTGCTGCTACTGTTATTTATTCTATACAAGAAAAAACATTTACTCCGTGGATTTTCATCAAGACATCTACTCGGAGGTGCCCAGGTTCTCCCATACAGTGATGATATGCTGGTGGACACAATGGAGGGAGAAGACTGGGCCTGAACTGGACACATTTAATACAATAGCAGTCTCAACACTGACCATCATACTGGTATCTTTAACAGTAACATGCAGCAGCTTTAAGGTGAATGCACACTGCAAGTTCATTAAATTGCTCCCTCCACAGGTTCTGTTACATTCACACACAACCCCCCCCCACCGCTCTGTTCACCCACACAGCCAAGTGAAGAAGTCCTGTGTAAGCACCAAGTCAGGAGGTTACACACAGGTAAGGACCTCCCTCCTCTCCCCCACACACAGGTAAGGACCTCCCTCCTCTCCCCCACAACAGCACTCAGGCGCCTGCTGCCATGTTGCAGGAGGTGGAGGAAAGTCAAATGTTTTCCCCCTATACTTGAAGAACTGGGTATTTTTCGTGGCTCCAATGGGCAAATGGGACAGCAGGGGAAGGTATGCATCAGCAGTGTGGGTGTTAGGGGGCCTATTAAATCACCTGTTATTTTGCTGTCAATGGACAAGGCATGGGTTCAAAATGAACAATGACTAGCATCAACGCCATGAAAATACTGTACTCTAGCCCAATAATAATAAAAAAAAAAAAAGACTATATAGAAATTCAATTCATCTGACTCATTGAACCATTACCAAAGCTAATCAATACTGCAACAGCTCTGTTCAGAAGATGGAGCTCTTTCTACACATCAGCAGCAACCACAGCTATGTGCACTTTGGCTGCAGGAGAGAATTTATTTTAACTCAACATTTCCAATATACTTTGAAGTTCCCTTTCTTTATATTTCTAATTAGCTGCATTCAACAATACGCTTGCAGACCAGAGTAAGACTCCAGTTCGTGAACACCAGTGACCAGTTGTTGGCAACCTGCCATGATACTGGTTAGTGAGCCTCACTAAATGCAAGAGTTCAATTTGTTTTTTAGGTCACCTGAGTGAACCGCACCACATCGGAATTTCTGTATGTTTATTTCGTGACCCAACTGCACAATGTAAAATGTCACCTGCACACAAATAAAAGATGGCCAAAGATTTTAAAAATTTACTGTAGGATGCATTTATACGTTTACCGTGATTATAACTATTGGGCCCTTTACTACACCTTATGGGCATATAGAGCATATTCTCCTTTAAGAAAATCAATTGCCACTCCCAAAAATAAAATACATAAAATCTATTAACAATTGATCGTAGTTAATCACATTCAGCAGGACTTGCTCTGTATCACTGAAGACATTTCATTGCAAATACAAAAAGCAGCTTCTTCCAAGAGCTGAAGCTGCTACAATAAAAACATTACAGATAACATCCAGTTGAATGTGAAACTACTATTAGCAATAACATGACCTTGCTAAAGCCAAACCTTTGCAGTAGGGATGTTCAGATACCAAGTACCATACTCAGCCCAAATACAGATACTTTTCCAGCTCCTAGACTAGAGCAAAATGAAGTTAGCTGTCCTATAAGGAGCATACAAGCTCCAGAGACTTGTAAATCTCTGTTAATGTAGGATTTTAAAAAATTAGGACTGCACTGATACTTTTGTCCAAGTACTGATCCATTTGTTTATTGTCCACGTATCACACTGGTCAATATAACCATATAGTGTTGCGGCTGGTTGAAATTTCACATTTAGTTCTCCTAGCGCAGTGGTTTTTCATCTTTTTATTTGTCTGTCATGTGACAGTTTTTCTAAAATAGACCAATGATTTTGGGACAGTGGTGAAGCTCCAGAGCTAGGTCACCACTGCAACCCTGATAGTTTGTGAAAATGCCAAGTATCGGCACTGGTATCTGAACATTTCTACTTTGCAGAAGTCTACAAACGTTTCAACATTCTGGAAATGAAGAACCGGCATCTCGACACAAAATGGCCACGACTGCAGGTCCGGTTCCTGAGCTCCGCTTTTAACAAACAAGACTTTGTTGAGTGCAGGTCCAGCCTCATTTCCACACTTCCCGCTGCTGTACTAGCCATCTGCAAAATAGGGAGATGCTTTTGATTTCCATGTCTTCCTGCAGAGCAGAACTCCTAACCCAACATAAATTTAGGAGGTCTTTGGAATATACCCGTTATGCATGTCTGGATTGCAGTCTGCATACCGATGCATGATCCATGTTTCAGGTCACTTTAGAATATATATGTATGTATTGATTTTTTTCTGTTCAATAAAAATCTACCATGCTAAAAAAAATTTAGGAGGTCTATGTACCATGATTGCCAAACATACACAGGGTTATTCACAAAAGGGGGAAGAGATTGGAGAAGGCAGGAGACATGAACAATCTAGGACAGGGGGGTTAGCAAACTGCAGCTGTGGTGGAACTACAAATGTTATGAGGCTTTGCAAGATTCTCACAGCCACAACTTCTGGAGATCTGCATCATGGGATTTGTAGTACCACAGCTGGAGGGCCAGAGTTTGGCTATCCCTGATCTAGGACAACATAGCCAACCTGGAAAAAAAATTATCCAGTTCAGCCATATTGTCCTAGATAGTTCACTAAAGAGTGATGAGTTAGGAGAAGTGAATGCCCCGGCTAGAAGCAGCTTGGCTTTGATTCTTCGCTACTTATTGTTCAAACAAAAAGCCATGTCACAGACTAGTGAAAAACCTATGCCACAGTGATAGTTACATCTGCCTCAAACGATTCCTCTATGACTCTGGGAGACATAAAAAGCATCACGGCAAGGCACTATCAGGAGCAGTGAGATTGTATTACAAGAGTTTGTTAATACTAGGGATGCACAGATACTGGTTTTTCAGTTCCGAGTACCAATTTGTTTTTCCAGTACTAAGCTGATAGAGTAGCGGTGCCATGTGCCCAGATTATCAGGACGTTGGGCGGCAGATCATGACACATCGCCCAGCTTCCTGATGGCCTGTGAAGCCCGTCTTCTAGCGACAACAGGCTTTACTTGGCGAGGCTGCCTGACCAATAAGGAAGCTGGGTCTTTATGTGCCACCCTGATTGGTTAGGAAGCCAGGCTGCCTAGCAACAAGTGAAGCCAATCAGGAAGCTGGGACATAACCCACCACCCAGTTTCCTGATTGGAAAGGAAGCTGGCTCTATGCTCCCTCAGCACTGCCTGACAGAGAGAGACATCTCCCTCTGACCCAAAGTTCCAGTATCAGAGTATTTGGGCACGTAAAAGGTGGCCATACACTCTACAACCATCGCAAGACTTTAGTCTTGCGATGGTTGTAAAGGGATTAAAAACGTACAATCTGCCTATCTTGACAGGCAGATTGCACTCTCGATCGCAAGCCTGCCCCCCGAGGGGCGGGCTTCCGATGACCGCAATGCTGAACGGGCAGTGTGCGCGTGCGCACACCGGCCCGTTCAGCATTTATCTTCCGAGCACCGTTCTAACCAGCCGAGAATCGTACGATTCCCGGCTGGTTTTCGAACATGCTGGTTCGACAGAAGACGTGCGACCGTACAGTAGAAACTGTCGCACGTCTCCGTTCACACTGCTCGATTATCGTACAAAAAACCGATCGCATACGATAATCGTGCAGTGTATGGGCACCTTAAGAGTACTCTTCCCAAATACTCTGCATCGGCACAGATACTGTTATTAGCACATCTTTAGTTCATACTTTTTTTCCCTTTGCAGCTCTAAAGTAATTCTGCAACAGAATAAAACTGGGCCCTACCACTTCCTGAGTTTCTGCAACAAAGGAATTTGACAGCATTGTCTACTGCCCAGGATTCCAGGCAAACACACAGATGCAAGTCATGTCATTCAGCAGTCTATAGAACGGCCTGTAATTTTGTTGCTTGATAAATGTTTGCATTCCCAAGTAAGAAGCATGCAATTTTTCCTTCGTCCCAGGATGCAATGCTCAGGCCGTAAACAGTGGGGGAGGGAAGTTGCAGAAGGGAACAATAACAGTTTGCAAGCGGCAGATTATGGGGTACTCAGATGAAAGAAGCGCAGGCTCCTTTCTGACAGCTTTCTGAAAAGCAGGTCAACAATTTCACTTGTTTCCTGTATCAATTGAACAGATGGCAAAGATGGCAAAGATATTGTGGATTCACCACTTCTGAAGGGTGTCCACCCCAAGACACCCATGTTGAGCTTTATGGGCATGTTAAAGAAAGCAAAAATCAATGGAAACACATTCCATACAACATCTTTATTATTTCCATCGTACAACTAAAACATGAACTGTGTTTTAAGTGACTATACAGAAGTCTTACAATTTTAGCAATTACAAGTGATTAAAATTTGTAGCTTTTTTCCCAAATGTGCCAAATCTGGAAAAACCGACAAAAAATGATTTTTTTTTTAAGAGAATATTGCCCCTTACTAAAAAGTGTCCCAAGGCAGACCTGGAGAAAGTCAGACAGATTT